AAACTCTGATGATTGGCAAAAACCCCAAATGCGAAACTCTGCCGAAACTCTAATAAACAATTAATGTGTAACCTGTCAAAACTCTGTCAATTGATTTCTGGAGGAGTTTCTCCCACAACCTTAGTCTGAGTTATTAGAGTCATCAAATCTGGAAAACTAAATTAAATCACTATACACAACTATATTGCTTGATTAAGTTTCTATTTGATAAGTTTATTCGAATTATTTGTTTTACTTGTTATTATTATGAATTTGAGTATTTGAATTACATTGAAAGTTTATTCAAATAAAATGAATAATGAATAATTTGATAATTCAAAAGACAAATAAATGAATAATTCAAATAAAACAAATAAACAAATAAAACAAATAATTCAATTGATAACTTAAATAAAACAAATAAATGAATAATAATTTGAATAATAAAATGAAATAATTCGAATATTTCAAACAAAACAAATAAACAAATAGTTTGAATAAAATGAATAAACAAATAGTTCAAATAAATGAATGATAACAATTTGAACAATAAAATGAATAATTCAAGCAAAAAAAATATTTGAATAAATGAATGATGTCAAGTCAAATGATAAACAAATGATGATAATTTAGAATAAAAGAATGATAACTATTCAAATAATAAACGAATGATGATAATTGGAGTAATAAACGAATGATCTCAATTCAAATGATAAATGAATGATCTCAATTCAAATAATAAATGAATGATGATAATTCAAATAATAAACAAATGATAACAATTTAAATAAATGAATGATGTCAATTCAAATAATAAACGAATGGTGATAACAATTCAAATAATAAACAAATGATACAATTCAAATAATGATAACAAGTCTAATAAATGAATTATGATATTCGAATAATAAACGAATGATAACAATTCAAACAAAATGAATGATTTGAATAATTTGAACAAAAATTTTATTATGAATAGAAATTCAACACTGTTGCAGTGTCACTAAATCTGGCACAATAATGTTCAAACTAAACTAAAATATACAACTACACTACATGAGGCGTCTCTACAAGCAATATAGTAAAACTAATAAAAGGGGTCTCTAACTAATAATTAAATGTTGGCCAAACCATTAATCATCAGTAAAGGTTATGAATCGATCAATCATGCCAGGTTTATCAATTAATGAAAGAGTTATTTTTATTACCAAAGTGTTATTATCGAAAGATCAATTATTTATTTTTATTGATTAATTTTTTTTTTCACTAAAGGAGATTTCAAACATATTTACACTTCTTAAAGTATTACAAATAACATCATTTTGTCCAATAAAATAAAAAAAAATTAGAATGACAAATGTTGACTACAGTAATTGACAATTACCAAAGTTAAATGTCAAAAATGAGTCATTAATGATGCCATGATTAAATGATACCTGATGAAATGTTTTTGTCATAATTAATTAAAAATAAACTTCATCTTCCTTGAAAATATTATTAAAAGAAAAGTATGGCAACTCATTAATGGCATAGTGGACTTTGATGAACCTTTCTTTGAAGTCAACACATCTTTAATAGGACAAGTTTCTGGATTATTTTTGCAGGAAAATCAATTAATTAGCTGAATAAACCCTGACTAGAGATAAATCTGGTTTTCTTTTATTTATCAGATCAACTTATTTAACTTATCAAACAATTATACCATTCACCCAGAATTAAAAGTGCACAATAATCATGATTGTTATATTTGTAGTCCTAGAAACATCATCATCAAATCCATCATCTTTAAATACTGTTGGTTCTCAAACTCATACTAAAAAATAATAATTTATGAAGAGGAACCAAAAAAAGAAGTATTGCTTGAAAGTATTTCTTTAAATGAAGTCTCACCAGAAGCTCAAGATGCTCAAAATCTTAATGATGAATCTAACTCATCACAGCAAGGATTACTTATTTTCACCACTCTTTTCATCACTTTCAATGTCTGATTACTAGGTATTAGAGCAAAAATATCATCAATTCTATTGCATCTAGCCTTCTCATTATGATATTTTTTCAGTATTTGTCAGATTTGTGATGCATTTCACAAATCCTGTGGACATCACATATTGAAAATTTATGTGACCATTCCATATCAGGGATGACCATCCTGTCTTCTTGCT